GGGAACATATTGTTATTCAAAAAAAGCTTCTCAAGAAAAATCAATTCTCCAAAGGCATCATGCTAGTAAGACTTGTACTAAAGTTAAACAACCAGTGGAATGCAAAAGAGGAGGTGAGATCATTGGAGGATAAATCGAGGATAGACATATAGGGTAAAGAAGAATTAGTAAAGATATTGAAGGAAGGCATTATGTTGGGAAGTTGACAGTATGACAAGTACAGTTCCTCAAGGAAAGGGAACCTTGTCATGTGGTGCAACCAGCTGGTTTGATTCACAAGGTTCGCACCACTCAAGTCAAGAAATAACAGCAAAGAAAGATGAGAAAGCCACTCAAGGTTCTTGATTCTGAAATCGTTATAACGAAGGTCAAGAGTATGCAAGTTTGTAAGATTCCCAAGTCATAAGGAATTTCACCAGTGAAGAATGTTCCTAAAAGATTCAAGTGCCTTAATTTCTTGAAGGAACCAATGAATTTTGGTATTTCACTTCCAAAATCAACAAAACTCAAGTTCCAAATAATTCAAATGCTGCAACTCAAGCAGTGCGGGGCTAAGCTTAGCAGCCTCCAGATAAACATAACCATCCGACGGAGGTACATGCAGATCGAGTGAAACTACGTGACCAATTCTCTTGCTACACGAGATGCCCTTCCATTTGCAACATTCCTTTTTAACTTCTTCACTTCCCCAGGATGAGAGAATTCCATGGTCGTCAACAAGGCCATGCTTAAACTTGAGAAGAGCTTGTCTTTCCCTGTCTATGCACCTAACTTCACTAGCAGATATTGAATTAAGTTTCATGCATAGTGAAAGTAAAAACATCAATACACTCAGTATTTTGATGAATATGCCAATCTCCATAATTTTTTCTGATATCATGTTTATAGTAATTGAAAAAGATTAAAGTTTTTCAATTTCATGCAATCATATTATATATGAAGCCGTAGAGGATGTATGTCCCACAATGAAGTAGATTCCACTATTGTGGAATGGTATAACATTGGTCAAAAGAATCTGACGGATGTTAGGTTCACGTTGCGACAAGGATATTGACTTTTCATATTGCGATAAGGATATTGACTCAATAAAGAGAGAGGTGGGTGCTACTAAAATGATTTTCCTTCTTGATGTTAATTGATTGTTAGGGACATTTCTTATTAATTCACACTGACCTACTGTTTTAAATGACTTTTTATGCGCTTGAGCCCTTATTTGGTTTCACTAAAAAATTTCATAAAAATTTAAATGAAAAAGTCGATAATTAACGTTAACCACTAATTTAATGAAGTTCACAACTTTTTACACATTCTATCAACTTTCATTAAAATATACTAAAAATTTAATATTTAGCGAAAACTAAACAGGGACTAGAGATTATTGATTAGTGCAATAAAAAAAATTAATTTCATATTTTATTTTTAAATATATTCAGTTTAAGATATTATTAATTTCCTCCTAATCATAAATCATTCCTAATACTGACCGAATTTTCGACCACATTTTAAAAAAAAAAATTTAGGTTGCCGATGTCATACATTTCGTCATGGTTTGAGAAAGTAAGTACCAACCTAACATCCTTGTTGCAACGTGAACCTAACATCCTTATCGCAATATGAAAATAAGATATATTCTTGGTTTGGCAGTTCGAAAGATTTAGGTATATCATATGAAATGTCCGAAGAAAATGTGCATTAGATTAACTTAAATTATAATCTTAGCTTTTCAAAGCATGTTCACGACTCTTTCCGTTATAAGACTCCCAACGATTTACTCCATGTAAAAGGAGACTATTTGAAATTTACTAAGCTTCTATAAAAATCGTATAACAATTATATTGTTAAATTAACCATCATGATTGGATTAGTCAACTTGTCTCTTTTGATCAATCTTACTAATCAACACCTCTTCACTAATTCATTTTACAAGAGAAGACCAAAAGTTTCGTTAACTCCCACTAGCTAGACCATAAAAAAGATGTTTAAAACAATAAAAAAAAGAATTAAAAAATTATTCACACGTGTGGCACAACACCTTGGACCAAAATATTATCTCAACATGTCAATTATCATGTTTACGATCAAAAGTTGCAAGAACATTCGTTCCTTCCTATACCATTCCACACATTTCTTCTAGCGTGCATAACGGCTATAACATTGGTCTTCATAACGGGCTATAACATTGGTCTTCATAAACACCTATTCATGGGGCCTCAATTACAACACAATGTCACTATAATCCTAGATACGTTAAAGTTTGAAATTTCAGATTGTTTAAGTTGAATCTTAACTATGATTATAGTTAATTAAGAGATTAATTATTGTTATTATGATATTAACCACTACAAAGAAGTCCCAAGTGAAATTGTTTAGGTTATGTAATCTACATGACACAATCCAACACGATATAACTTTTAAAATAAATATTGCACACGAATTAATGAAAAACTTTTAACACTATATATATATAATGCAATTATTTGAAATATTCAACTTGATTATACCAACAACGTGATAAATATATTATAGTTTTAAGCTATTTCAGAAAAAACATGGTACATATTGCAAGAGCAGAGGTTTATATTGTGTAATTGAGTTTTTTGAGTTACCAAGCAAATTTAAACAAAAAATGGTTCAAGTGACAAACCAAATTTCTTGTAAACACTAACATATCTAGTCATAAAACATTGTTCATCACTCAACTTATACAAAATTTCATGTTGGTCATCAAACTTTATTTTGTTATTTAAATAGTCATTAAGTTTGACCACTCAATTAAATTGCATTAAGTATTCTAACTGAATGTATAATGTGTAATTGCTCAACGTTAGATCGCTATCGACCACATCAGGCATTCTACTAGAAAAAAAGATTAAAATTTAAAAAAGATCTTTTTTCTTTAAATTTTTGAAACCCTTTCAAATTTTTGAATAACTTAACATCCTTGCTCTGATATGTTGTGGCCTGTGGGTATTGCATTGACCCTTACCTCAATTTTACTACCACATTTTTTATATGTTGGGGGGCTATGCATTGATCCTTAACTCAATTTTACTGCTACATTTTTTAGAAAAGAAATTTTATTTATTTTATTTGGTAAACCATTGGTTTGACCCTGAGTTGATCTTTGACTTTTACCTTTTGCTTAACATATGTTTAAAATATCGGGCTCTCAAGTTTACAAGTAAAAATTCAATAACTGAGAAATGGAGTTGTCGATGAATCTTTTTGCCGGCAATCATTCTCAAAACTAAATGTCACATAACTAAATTGTGGGTATATATTCTTCACCATTTAAGCAACACTATTTCTAGCATCAATGGTAAAAGTAAGTTTCCCGTAGATATTTGTTTGGAAAGTCTTGACTTCCACATAATTCATTTTTTGAAGAACCAATTTCCACAAAACTGTTCACGGTTCGTGGCTGTATTTTATTTATTATTTAGGATGTTTTTATCCGTAAATTAACTATTTATCACTAACTTGTCCATTTTCATTTATGTGTGATTTAGTAGGAATGGATCTTCCAATCAGTGATAATGGATTAAAAAAACATTATGACCTTTTCTAAGATTTTGTTTTTATATTGATTTCACCATGTAGTTCTTGTTTTATCCCAAGATTGTTTGTAAAATATTGTAGGGGAGCACCAAATTATATATATTATTTAGGATGTTGAAATTAAAGTTATTATCCATGAATTAACTATTTATCTGTAATTTGTCCATTTTCATTTACGCGTGATTCAGTAGGAATGGATTAATTTTTAGAAAGATCTTCAAATTGGCGATAATGCATCAAAAAAACATTATGACCTTTTCTAAGATTTTTTTTTTTTTTAATATTGACTTCACCATGTAGTTCTTGTTTTATCCCAAGATTGATTGTAAAATACTGTAGTGGGCCACCAAATTATATATATTATTTAGGATGTTGAAATTAAAGTTATTACCCATGAATTAACTATTTATCTGTAATTTGTCCATTTTCATTTACGCGAGATTCAGTAGGAATGGATTAATTTTTAGAAAGATCTTCAAATTAGCGATAATGCATCAAAAAAACATTTTGACCTTTTCTAAGATTTTTTTTTTTTTTTTTAATATTGACTTCACCATGTAGTTCTTGTTTTATCCCAAGATTGTTTGTAAAATATTGTCGTGGAGCACCAAATTATATATTTTAGTCAAGTGGTTCGAATCAAAGTCTTTCTCATTGAATTCACCACTATCTTATAATTTTTATGGACATTAGGTGTATAACAATAGTCTTCCAACTTGCTGGAAAAAGACAAGGAAACTAAAAAAATGATCAATTCTTCTCAAGGACCATGATGTCTACCTTAAAATTTAGATAATTTGGTTCAACTTAGTACCGGAACAAGCAAAGATCCTTTTTTTTTTAATTTAATTGAGACCCATCCGGATTTTCTGAATGAGCTTAACACACTTTGATATTTTGGGGTATTTTGCATCGACTTACGACCTTGTCTATTACTAAAAGAATAAGCTACATGTTGCCATGAACCAGAACATTTTGTAACGATGCATCTTTCTCATGCCAAATCCTGTTCTGTTTGATCCTCCTCTTCTCCTCACCTAGAAGAGTCACTGGACTCATTCTTCTCTAACCTGCTTATTTTCCTCCTCTTCAATGATAGCAACCTCTTTGCCCAAACCTTACTCTTTTGTATGTAGAGTTTGCTTGCCCTTTCTTCATTGGCTCACTTAGGGTTCTTGAGAAAAACGGTTCTCTTAATTTGAAAGCAAGAATATTTGCAATGAAAAATGGTGTAATATTTTTTACAAAAATGCAGGCTATTTATAGATTTATTTGTGAGCATTCAAACAGTCTAAAAATCTCTTTAGAACGGTGGTGACAACCTTTCAAAACAAATAAAGATATATGTTTAGACCAAAACCATGCGTCTGGTACTTGAATATGCTTGGTCATGTTAATTTCGATTTACAGGTTTCACATAAAATTAAACTCAAAGCAGCTTGATTAAAAAATATTTTTTAACAATCCTCAACATGAATAAAATATATCGATTTTTATAAACAATCCAACACCAAATATGAATTTCGAATACAAATAAAGAGAAATTGCATCGAGATAAGTAGCCAAAGACTCAAATTTTCCTAGTAAAAAAAACTATCGAATTTACTTGGCCAATCAATAGCAAAGAAATTTGAATAGTTAGTCATTTGTGTAAAACTATGCAATAGAAGTCACACAGTTCCATTCAAACACAGTGATTCTAAAGTTTTTGTCAATTTTGACCTTGAACACCTCCTAGTTCATTAGTATTTTTTAAGAATTCATCTTTAAATAATTCTCATAGTAGCGACCCATTCTCTCCCACATATGTGATCACCATAAAGAGCATTATGTTGTCTACTTGAACAAATCAAAAAATAGAGAGCATTAAAAGCTTGACTTAATGTGATTCTCACAACAGTTAGGCATTATCTTATCATAGAAATGAGTAATAGTAATGAATCTCCCCAGTGCGTACTAATTTGTCACAATTTAATTGTCCCATTGAATCTAGATTTTTAGATCTCGAGTTAATTAGGTTGGATTTCCATGTGAAAACTCATGGTTACATTATCGATTTTAACCCATCGTACTTGGTGAACTTTCAACTTGCTCTCTTTTCAAACCTTTAGTAATGATAAGTTATCTAAGCCGTTGTATATATTTGTTAGGTAAAATTTGATTGTTGGAAGTGATGTTAGAAGAAAAGAAGTGAAAATTGGCCAAAGAATGGCGAAAAGAAGAAGAAAAATTCCAAAGTTCGGAGACTAAGTACAAATATTTAAAAGTTAATTTGGACTAATTGTTCAAAATTTATGTGATATGTCTGCACTGTCAAAAATTAAATTGTGTTTTGATTATGTCAACGAAAGTTGAATTGGAAATCTTTAACGGTAAAGGAGACTTTAGTCTTTAGCGCCAGAAAATGCGAGCCCTTTTACTTCAACAAAAAAGTGCAAAAGCCATTGATGAGTCATATATGGAAGAAATTAAGAAAATTGAACTTGATAAAATTGCATGGAGTTCTATATTCTTGCATTTGTCTGACAATGTGTTAAGAGAGATTGGAGAGAGAAAAACTACTGCTAAGTTGTGGAAAAATTGGAAGATACTTCTTTGAATAAAATCATGCCTAATAAAGTTTATCTTCTAAAACAATTTTTTGGTTTAAATTGGACCCATCTCTTGATCTTGAGGCAAACATTGATAGATTCAACAGATTATCCCGTGACCTAGCCGACTGTGATGAGAAACTCTCAAAAGATCAGTTGGCTGTGGTTTTGTTAAATTCAAAAAGTGATAAAATAGAGATGTTAAAAATGCTATTGAATATGGAAGGAAGACTCTAATTACTAACGTGATAATAAATGCATTGAGAAACAAAGAGTTAGAGTTAAAATCTAAAAAGTAAGAATCTGTTAGTGAAGAAAATTTGATGGTTAAGTCCAAACCTAATTCAAACTCAAAGATGATCAATTTTAATAAGAGATCTGGTCACAAGAAAATGGTGAACTTTAATATCTATCCAATTAAGTAGGGAGAATTTTCGCATCCATCAAAAGGATAACACTTTAAATGGATAGTTTTACTTCTTTTTGCATAAAATTATTAAAGAAAGGAGTCAGTGTCACTTTGACGTTACTAGGTCAAATCCACTTTACCACCCTATTCCTTTCTCTCTTTTTTGGCTTTTTTCTATAATTTTTTAAATTACTTGGAGATTCCCTGTAACTCCTTAAAATGACATCATCGATTTTCTTTTACTTGTTATTTGACTTATCGAATAACGGTTTTTCAATATGGAAAGATGCATTGTGAAGTATTCACGAACACTTTAAAATGGTACCAAGAACGCAAGAACGCGCCTTGATTAATGAAGAATATAGTTCAAAAAGAAGCTAAAAATGTGACAAAGAAATGGGAATTGAAATAAATAAATAAAAATAGAATTATTAAATCATTTCTAGCAGTCATCTTTAGCTCATTATTTTGAACTTATTGTTTAATAATTTTTCAATTTGAAAGATACTACTTGACTTAGATCCCACTGTCGACAAGCTATTGACTTCTTAAAAGTTTTTTTGCTTTCTAAGAAGGGCATTTTGTAGTTGCACCACCAACATCAAAGATAAGATACGGAAAATGAATCAATCATATCCTCTATTTTCATCGTTGCATATATAGATTTATATATATATATATATATATATATATATATATATATATATATATATATATATATATATATATATATATATATATATAAATCTATATATGCAACGATGAAAATAGAGGATATGATTGATTCATTTTCCGTATCTTATCTTTGATGTTGGTGGTGCAACTACAAAATGCCCTTCTTAGAAAGTATATGTACCAAATCATTTACCAAATGGATAACCGAATTGACAAATATCGCGCCCTTATTGGAATGGACAGGCGCTCCTCCAATAGGGGGGCGCCATTTCTCAATTCGATCAAAAATTATGTAAGACATTTGGTACAAGTAGATTAATTTATTTTTATTTTTATTTTTTTTGTCCATACAACAACATTTAAAAAAACAAAAACTTCATGTTTTCATCTGTCCATTGGATGGTCTTGAAAATTTAGAACACTGTATCTTAAGTAACTAAAATAGGCACTATGTCTTAAATAACTAAAGTGGCACTCAAGTCAGGAAGTGATTGATGTTCGATTGGGCTGTGTCCTATGATTCCACGGGTCAGTGCTTCCTCTTCCGCACATTTAAAACATAGTTTTTCAAGGAACCTAAATTTAAAATGTTAATATTTAGCCACTAAACTTTATATTGTTTAGCATCCGCTGCCATTGAATTTGCTGCTGTCTCTAACTTACGAACAAGCAGTTCAAGGCCTTACCTTAGTTCCTTAACTTTCACCCCGTCAGTCATTGAAATTAACTCCGCCAGTCCAAACTAGTAGTCCCACTAACTTGGCTCGCTAGATTCTTATGTGGCATGCTGTGGATATTAGTTGTCCCAACTCGAGTGAATTTGAGAGAGATACAGGGAAATGAGATTAGTTGAGCATTGATTAGTGCTTGTTCGAGAAGTGCCCCGACTATGGGAAGTGAAGGCAGAATGATCGTGGAAGACCTAATTATTGAGGAAGTTTGGCTTACCGAAGGGCTAGGCTAAAGGCAGAATCCTTAACCCGCGGGAATAAAAGTCAATCTGAGATTGCTTAAATTTCATCTCATAAATAAGACTACCTCCCCGGGCAAAATTCAAAAACAGTGGTGGAGTGACCACTTTCTGGGATCCCGGCAACCTACCCACCCAATATTGTAACTCCCAAAATTTTCATAAATTTTGAAGTGTTATAAAAAAATTTCTTTTCTATATATTGAAAGTGCAACGATAAAAATAAAATAACTGAAATATCCATAAATTTAAACAAAACATGAAAATTGTATTAAAAAAAATATGTTTAACTAGTTAATAAATTTAAAGACAGGAAAAAACTTAATTTGTATTTTTTTTTTTTCGTTCCACTTGACAACCCACATCACTATCCTGCCACAGATCCAATCGACCCGCCATAACCTGTAAAATTATTACAAAAATGATTATTTAAAAATATCAGTAAATTATGTGCAATTTTCATAGACAATTATATAACAATAAATTAAACACTTTATACTACCTTTCTTGTGAAGTATATCAGTAACCAAGGGACACATCCATCGTGTCCCCTCAGTAGTACTTTGAATTCCTCAAGAATTTCACATTTTGTTATAACCAATAGAGTTCACATTCCATTAGGTCGAACCCGAAAGTTCACTTGCATTTCATGAATAAATTATTGAACATAAAAGTACACGAAGACAAACAACTTACACAAAAGTATCTTAGCTCGTTAAATCAAACAAATTTTTGAAAATAAATATAATTGCACGCTCAAAACTCCTAAATTTCTTGCGTCCGCCAAAATAATAAAAATCAGCTTTCTTTAGCTTTGAAAAGCACTTAATCTCTCTGTCGTGTGAGTCTTTATAATTTCTATGATAATTTAGCTGAATTTGCTAAGTATAAACAGAGAAGGCTTCCCGTTGAAAGTGGAATATTTTTACTTCTGGACTATACTACTTGTACATAAAAATTGTATGTAAAGAATTACATAAAATGATGTGGATGGGCGAAATTGAATAAAAAAGTTCTCTTTATTTCAAACTGACAAATGATAAAATAACATGCGATATTATGTAATCCATTATGTAAAACTTGATATACATGTAACAGTGTCCTTTTATTTTAGTTCAAATGGTTAAATGCTCTTTTAATTCAAGAAAAATGCTCTTTGGTGTACACCTAGATTGACATCCTCTAATAGGAGGTGAGTCCGGCGATTACGGCCAACCATGGTGTACACCAAAGGAAGTACACCTAGCCTTTCTCTTAATTCAGTTACAAATCCTTGTCAACTAAAAGTTTAGTTTGTATCTATATGAAACACATACAGGGCTATCAACAACGATAAAATAAAACATAATTAAATTAAATACTAATAAAAGGTAACTTCTTTAAACCTCAATATCTTGGATCTGACATATTCAAATTAACTTTTTCTCAAGTCGAAAACTTCTAATTAATTATAACCTATAAAACGAGTTCAATATTGATATACTAAATCTATTTCCATCAATATCTAATTACTTGACCCAAAAAAAAAAAAAAAAAAAAAAAAACATATTTCACTTCATTCCCTCAATTTTCAAAGTATAAAAACATAACATATAGAATAAATAAATTATTCTAAAAATTTTGAGACTTTACAAATATGAACTATCTGAGCACCAAGAGAGACTCCATGTGCGACAATGAACAATCAACCATATGACAAGGTACCCTTAAAGTAAGATACCGAAAGATCCACTTCGCGAGTTAAAGGCAAGTATCTTGACAGTAGAAGTTGTTCAAAACTAGCCAACCGTAGTTTGTTTGGATGATTATCGCTCACGGACACACCACATAAGAATTCAGATAACCAAATGAGCCTCGCCGTTAGTTTTTGAAAGTAACTTATTTTAGTGACTAACGCCATAAACATAACAAAGTGATTCATTAACTAAATATTAACATGTTAATCTTCAAATGTCGTTTGCAAATATGCCTACAAATTCATGGATGAACCAACAGCTAATCAAATTGCAAAAAACTTACAAGATATTCTGAGAATACTGCATTTTAAACCCCTGTTTGACTCCCTTTAAAACAAAACAATTTATTTCTTATACTCATTTTCAACCACACATTCACACGATAAAATATTTTGCACTTAAACCCACATACTTTCCCTACTTTATAACCACACATTATCCGAAAAAATCATTATTCAAAACATCATTTTTACACAATAATGGCCTAAATAATTCGATGGGGGTAGTTACTAACCCTACCACATAGTTCCAACAACAACAGAAGTAGCAAAAAAGACAGCAACGCATCAAATAGCAGCTAAATTGAGTATACAAGTTATACGTATTTTAAAAACTATAGTTAGATGCTTCTTACTACGTCATTAAATTATTAATTGAATCAATCTTCTTACGGTGCATAACAAAGGAAATTATATCGATAACACAATTACTTTTTTATCATTCGTACACTATGAACATGATTGAACATCAGTTGCATGTTTCCAATTGGCCAATAAAAATTTGTCTCAAGATTAATATAGCATTGACTTTATGTCTATGCTTACCAGCCTATACAAGTGAAGTCAGTCCATCTCTATGTCCTCCATTCCCTCTTTTAAGACTTCCGATGTTATAGAAGTCCAAGTGTTTTCAGCTGCTGAACATGCTCAGGGGGAAGGGTTGGAGGAGACCAATCAGATCCGGTCATCTCATCATCAACATCCTCCACAACATATTCCTGTCGAAACAGGTAGGCAATTTCCGATTAAGATTATCGAATTAGAACTCGAATTGAGAAGGATGCAAGTAAAAATAACAAAGCAAATCTCATCCTTCAGTAAATGGTACAACTATACAGAGTTAAAGAGAGAATGTCCTTAATGGCTTGGAAAGTAGTATATAAAGAAAAAGTCAAACAAAACACTTTCCTTTGAAATTGTATCTGGTTCCATCTTTCTTTTATTTATTATGTTTGCTTCTCCTTTGAACATCCTGATGCACAAATAGCTAGAATAGCAGCTCAAATAAGAGGAGTTAAAAGGACCATATACACTTGATTGATTACTGAAAAACATTAAGAAAGAAAAGCAGTTCAAAACTTATGTATTGTCCTGTCCAGACTTATGTATTGTCCTGTCCACTCTTGTCTAATATTGTGTACCCAATGTCCTGTATCTAGTCTTGTCCAATATCGCATGCCAACATGTTCTAAGAGATTTCTCATCATACACTTGAATAAAATGAGTTGACAAATGGAAGGGAGCTCAAATATTAGAATATCTTCAAACAAATAGCAGATTGAACAACTAGTCATAATAAGACAAAAATTTCAGGACACACACACACACAAATGTAATTCTCACTCACTTTTGTTAGCATTCGTTTTGCTAGTATGTGGTAGTGCCGCTGCCAAATCCTCTGTCCTACCATGGTTGCCACCAGCACACTGTAGAATATACCGATTACAGTAAATAGTCCCAACACAATTAAAGCCATTATAAATAATAGCGGCAACCCAGCTTCGCCAGCACCTCCCAGGCAACCACATTCACTAGCTGCACTAGCACAACCTTCAAAGCACGTGGTACAGTCGGTCCACATACAAAGAGTGCCAGGCAAATGGCAATCAGCACACATTCTGCATGAATGACATAAGTAAAAATATTTATGGAAGAGAGATCCATTTGATCAAATTAAACCATCATATATTTCTATAATCAGCAAAAAAGGTTAACAATTAATTATTAACTCCACGTGATAATTTCAGTTGATAAATGCTTCAAAACAGAACAAGTGACAGATCAACAAGAAAAAATTCCATCCTTGGAAAAGCATTTACAACAGATATCAGGCCATACCCAGAGTGGGTTTTCCACATGTTACAAGATTTAGCTCAAAACACTCGGAAAATGTCATCCTCAAAAAATGAGAGAGTAATAGTATCAATAAATGAAAGAGAAAAAGAAAGGCATGCAAACTTTTCTAGACTTCCAAAGAAAAGACAGAATGACCAGCAAAGAAAAATTCAAACACCAAAAATAAGTTAAAGCTCTAAAATTAATACCAAAGTTCTCATCTGCATAAAATCATAAGCCACAGAGAAAATATACCCAGGGTGACAGCAACAAAGACACAATTCTCGACATGGCTGGGCCAAGTCATTGCGCACCCTTCTGTCATAACACGTGATGAAGCACCCAGATAAGCCCAATAACGCGAAAAACAGAAGTGCTCCTGCACAGATAGAAAATACAATATAATATTAACATCATTACGTCTAAATTCGTGAATCAATATTTTTTTGTAGGTATAAGAGACATGAATGTTCACTTGATAAGTAGATATATTTCCATGAAATTATCTACACCTGTGTACATGAAGACAAATGAGGCATAGAGAGGAGGGAATGAAAAGAGAAGAAAAGTGAGCACATACAACTAGACACACAAGTAGGCATGAGAAGGGATTAGAGAGGAGGGAGTAGAAGCCAAGCAGGAATGGAGTAATTCTCTCATGGTTGGGACAGGGGAGAGGAGACAAGAGAACTACACCCAACATTTGTCCACCCCAAGATCTCAAATTACAATAATTAGCTCACATAGTTTACAATTTTCTAGTGCACAAATTAGAAACTACGGTTTCGAAATTCTTTGGATTAACAATTAATCTTTTATAGATATTGAAGTAGCAAGCAAGGACAATTGTTCACTGAATGCACAATAAGAGCTCTTCTCATTGGCGAGACAAGAAGTTTCTGGAATGCCTAGAAGTTTCCAAAACCCAATTACATCGCAGAGATCGTCTGAAATATCATTGCTATCTAACTGTAGCAAGTACCCACTACCCAGGTAGGTTATCCCTATTATGATGCTATTTCACCATACAAATCAGGCACCTTAGAGAATCATAGCAAAACCCAAAGACTGACAGTTCAGAAAAATAAACCCCATTACGCTCGGTGAAAAGATGAACAAATTAAAGCATAAGATAAGAAGAATCCGATCTGAAGATGTCTTACCACATATGTAGTAAAAACTGAGTCCGCTATCGAAACCCCAGGCCTGGCGAAGCCAAAATTTCTGGTAGCAATCAATGAGATACACCAAATATGCCAACAAAGCAATAACCTGTAACAAGGAGGATGGGCCATGGAAATCAGAATAACACAATCGAAACAACTTTTTCACATGTCATTTCTAGTAAGTCTTGGCATAATATCTAGCAACAAGCAGCAAAAAATGAATACAGAAAACAGAAAAGAAAAGAAAGTTGTAATGACCTACCAACTGAACAGCAAGAAAGATAAATAAAATATCTCTTGTCACGAAAAATCGAAACTTCAAAGTACGCCATTTCCTATCAGCAACAACATGGACTCTCAAATGATAAGGAGCCTTACAAGTCGTGCAATGAGCAAATGCAAGCCCTTCCTGAAGATATGAAAAGCAAAGATAAAACATTAAGCAAAATTAAGATAGATACATAAATAACTTACTTTGTGTGATACTGAGTAAATGATATTGCATTATTAGCTTTGATCTATAACATGCTTATAACAGAATACATATCTTTTATCCAAACTTGAAGAAGCACATACTCAAATAATAATAGAACTACCTTTTTGAAGGATGTCCTCTTTTCGTTAATAAGTGACATTAGATATTATGCTCATCGTTTTCAGCATTTTTCAGATAATTGTCTAATGTGATGAAGAACAAGGCACATGCCCCAAAATTACAATTGGGGTTCGATACCTGATTATACTTTCACATTTAAAGATGCTAAACCAACAATCAATGTCACGTCAAACTACAATTCTATGTGAAATGAAATAAGGAAAAGAGAGTAGTGGATTAAGCAAAATCAATTAGAAAATCAGTAGCTGCAACATTTAAAGTAATTTAGCAAACTGGATAACATTAGAAGCTAAAATTGAAAGAGAATACTTGTGAATATTGAATTCTTGGAACCAATAAAACAAACCTTCACAGCACGCCAATGATCCAGACATTCTCGATGAACATACTTTGATGTCCCTTTGCACTTGCAAGGTGAAATAAAATCCCTACCTGATAAAGAACATAAGTTACAGATCTTACAGGCATTGTTTTTACATAAAGCGATACTCCCTTAGATTACAAATTGCCATTAGTCAAAATATAGGCTCAATACAAAGTGAACGTTACGCCATAATCAATACATAAATAGAACCCATTACACAATAATCTCCAACAACATTGGAACACAATGTCATAAAAATACACGTGATCACATTAAAGTCAGGAAAATAAAATCATCTAAAGCTTAACATATGACTAATATTTATTGTTATTCAGAAACAACAGTAGCACTGATATAGTTTACAGCATTAACCCAAATGTCCTCAGCATGGAGTACCAAAAGTCTAGCAAGTGCCAGCTCTCTGAATAAATATGAGCATAAATTTGTCAAAACACCATAAGCCCACAATAAATCTGGACTACATACTGTTTATGTAAACAATGATAGTAGGGTTGTGCTTGATGTACATAATTTATGTACATAGGGGTGTCCAAAATTATGTACACCAAGACTTTTCCATGATGGTAACAAGTACCATTTATGGGGACAATGACAGGAACAAGCACCATAAAGCCAGAAATGGACAAAACTTAGGCAAATCATTCCAAAATATGAACAATGAGTGTGTTCACACTCTAAATGAGAAAATCGAGAACTTTATTCATCTCACATAAAATGTTAATTCTTATACACAAAAATTATTGTTAGGTTGCAAAGAAAGTGTAATGAAATTGATTTAAGTTTGAAAAACCTGAAATGGAAAAACCTAAAGGTTTAAAAAATTGCTAAAATTAGAGTAACAGTGGCAGCCCTAACTATAGACGGATAGGCGACCGCCTAAGACCTCGCTTTGACGCGGGGCCGAATTGTGTAGGATTAATTGGCTGGTTGATGAAAATCGAAAAATTATATCGATGAAATCACATCATCGATCAACAATATCACAAGAAAGATTGAATGGCCATGGTATGTATTGAAAAAGAAGTTCTAAAATGGATTGATTGCAATAGTATAATTGTTGACATTCTATCAAAAAATTCTAGAACTGTAAATTTAATTTAGACATTTGAAAGTTTTAAATTACTATTTTTGTAATTATGAATATATACACAATATAGGTCCCCATTTTTGAAATTGGAATAAGCCCCAAAATATCAGGGTGGCCTTGTAGACTAAATTAAATTATTTTCATAATTGTTTCCAATAAAAACACTCAAATTCGAAATTTACGTAACATTTTTACCAACAATGAACAAAACCCATAACAGCTTCACACGTAATTCCTAGTAAAACACTTCCCACATAATTCGCAGTAAAACAATCTTTTATCCCAAAAAATTACAATCAGCATACCCAAAAACGAAAAATTCATCACGGATCGAAAAAAGTGTGAAATTGACAGTAAATAAGAAATCATACCGTCAGTTTCAAGGCAAATTCGGCATTGAATTTGCTCCCCAGGCCCCACTTCGAGGTCGATCTCCAAGGGTTCGTTTATCGGAGGATTCATTAGTGGTGAAGAATCAGAGAGATCGCCACCCATTTTATTCCAAACTAATCTTAACTCTCACTTCGAAAAAAGCGAACACTAAAATGGTGAAGCTAATGATTTTGATTCAATTGAATGATTCGTCCATATACAGAAGGGGGTAAAAACTCTTAATTCTCCGCAGACTCTTTGCGTGGAAATAGATACATATAAATAAATGTACCTACAATCTTGGTTTGTTAAGGAAGGTCTGAGGTTTAGATGACACCAAGAAAAAGGGAAGTATCGGGAAAGACTATGCAGTGCCATGTTTGGCTAAGCTTAAACACTAAAATTTATTTCCAAGTAGCTTTTCATAAATATATGAGATAATTAATTCTTCTTTTCTTAAAAGTAACTCTTATGTTATCTTATCTTATCTTAAAATCAAGTAACTTACTTATTAAAAATATACTTGTTTTATTAAAAATGAGATTATTTGTTTTAAACCTACTTTTTACTTATAAGTGAATATTTTAGCTTAGCAAAAAATGCACTATATGTTACAAAACTGAGAAGAAAAACGAGGTTTAGCTCGTTTTATGCTCATGTGGCTTGATTATAAAAAATATAATAATAAATTATAAATAGCTATTTTTATACTCAAACAGTCAACCAGAATGTATATAATTAAAAAAATGAGAAATATATATTTGAAAAAATAAACACATTTTATTAAAAAGATCATTAAAATGTTCGCTTAAACTCTTGCAATTGATTTCAGAAACGGATACAGTAAATATTGTAAAAGTGTAATGATTAAATATTGAAATTTTAAAGTTCAACGACCAATTACAAGCATGATTATAAGTAACGAGCCAAATGAAGATTTCTTCTTTCTCATTTTTTAGATTTATATTCATATTTTGAATAAATATGAGAATATATATGTGTTTGACTAGTAATAGCATGATAACCAACTACACCATCCAAACATATATGATCACAACCAAAGTAATTAAGGGTCTGTTCAGTAGAGATTTTGAAAATTGATTTTTTAATCGTTAAGAGAAAAATGAGGATCACTTGTGATAGAAGTCAAAAATTACGGTTGAAATAGTAAAATAACGATCAAAAAAAAATTTTTTTTTTTTATGAAAAATCACTCCCAAACGGGACCTAAATTATGATTATATTAATAAATAAAGCGACGTTATTGCTTAGAGCAAATGAGATTTCGACCCACAATGATTTTGGGCCGTTTCAATACGGGTCATGAGTAGTGGCCCCATTGAAAGAAAAGAGTAAATAATATTTCTTGTGTTAATGTTTTTGCAATATATTTAGACCACAAAAGTTTTGACTTCTATGCATTTTAGCAAGAATTGAACAAGTGTGATTGACACATCTGTGTACACTTCCATAGAGACACCCAATAAATAAATAAAAGCGCATGTCCCCTTTGGTGAGGGGCTCTTTTAGCAAATTCCCTCTAACTGTCAAATTAGTATGGGAACATTGGGACGCCACAAAAATAAAAGGAATAAGCCAAAAAAAAAAAAAAAAACCTTCTTCTTTTTTTATAAGTTGCATCAACATTCAATTCGTTGACTACTACCATTTTATAATTAAGAATCTGCTAAAAAAATTACGTCTTAAGAGAAGCTAAAATAGGGATGGCAATTAGTGGGAGTCCGGATCAGAGGAATCATTATTATCCCCGTCCCGTTTAGAATTTTCGAGAAGTTGGGTGGTCGCAGGGTGTGGAATAAAAAATTTCATTTATCTTCCCCATTTAATTAATTAATTAATTTTTAATATTATTATTTAGTTTTTTAATTGAAAATCATAGCAATTCGGAAAATTTGGGAATGATCTTCATCCCGTTTCAAGTCGAGACAATGCAAGGTGGGTCCGGACACGAACTTTTACCATCATATGCTAAAGTATTAATAATGAAATCTTTGTTTCTTGTGTCCTATATGTCAACTACCAAAAGCATGTTGAGGTAGGCTTTAAGTATCTACCGTCGGTAAGTAAATCATTATTTAAATCTATCTTAGTTCGGATAAATTTGTTTGGCAAAATGCCTATTTAAGTAAATTGCTTATTTTAAAAGCTTTTTTTTTTTTTTCATTTTTTCATGACTACGAGAAACTTTTATACTTATAAGTAAGAAGTAAAAATATGCTCAAAATGTGTCAAAAAAAGAAAATACAAAAAATGTGCGTGGAGTTGTCACCATAACCTCCTTAATGCTTAAGACGGTTAACTAAGTGTGAGGTATCAAATAGAAATTGTATAATGCATACCTAAATAATGAACGAATGTCAAGTGTATATAGAATTGTATAGGTGCAATCCCGTGAGGATTAGGAAACCTATAAGACCTAAATGGAACACAATGGAGGTAAAGGGAGACAAGGATTGCCTAGTAAAGTTGAGTAAGACTCTTAATCTAGAGTGCTTATGTATTTGAGACAGGATGGCCCGGGTTAGCTAACAATGGTATAAAGATAAATCCAGGGACCCATGCTAGTGAATATGCGAGGGATCATAAGGACGAGGTCGGGGACCCTACACGACTAAATCAACTCACAGTAATCAGAATGAGGTTCATGCTCGAGGTGCAATTTTCTATGATAAGGACCATTGGTATTTGAGCTCGGTGAGTGAAAGATTTGGCATCATCACAAGATTTAAATGATTGCGTGCGTGTCGTATCCAAGAATTTAAAATTTTAAATAAAATGGTGAACATGGTATTGGAGCTAAGAAAATAGATTTGGATCCGAGTCTTGCTTTCATCCATATATAAAATTGTCCACATATATCTTTGATAGAAAAAATAATGAATATGGATCTACACGTAAAAAAATGTGTTGCAGATAAATCTACACAGATACATGTAACCTATCTCTAATAATTAAAACTTTTTAATATGATTGTTAGCAACAGAGGTATATAATTTCAGGTTTTGACTAGTTGTCCTTGAGTTATGGAGATGGGGAAGAGGGGAGTCTGCGACAATATTAATTTGGTGAGATCTTTGCGTGACTTAATAAGCCATTAATCACTTCTAGTGACAAAAGGCACATAAATTTTAGGGTTCCCTATTTTTTATTTTTTATTTTTATTTTTTTTGGTTCAAGGTTGGAAGAGGGGGGATTGTTCTATATTCTTAAGATCTTTTGATGCTATACAACCAACTTTGGTGGCAAAGTAATGTACATTCTGATAAAAATTAGAAAAATTAATTATATACAATGAAGAGCAATAAAATCAAAGTAAGGAAAGAAAAAAGAATACGTAATATTTATAGGGGTTCGTCTCAATGTGAGACTACGTCCTCGTCCACCATTACACTAATTCATGAAAAAAATTATAACAAAAAAAAAAATCGCATGCCTTTGTTTCTCTAATCTCTCTTTTGAATGATGATATAACTAAATGCTATTAACAACTCTCTATTTATAAGAAAATCAGGCAAAATCGAAATTACAACTACGAAATATTGAATTAAGCTCCACAAATATGTAATATTAAATTAGTAGTTCTCAATTTCATTTAATTCATATTATCAATCATGCTAAAAAGACATATAACTATAGGTCACCTTACTTATGTCCAAGGTGGGTTGGTTGAGGGATGGAGAGGTGAGTGTTGGGGAGATTCTAGATTCTCAATATCTTAGGTATGTGAATCTTGTCATGTTTGATGCCACATTAACCACCCTTAGTGGTATCTAGTTGAAATGACTTGTGGCCCCCAGGGCATATCTCCCAGTGGCAAAGGGGAAGGCGGATAGGGCTCAATGCGGCAGTGTGCAGAGTTCGATTCCCCGCAAGGTGGAATTGGCTTTGGTGCAAGCGAGAGTTACCATATGGGTTAATAGCCTTGACCTATCCATGTGTTCTCCACCCTGGCTCCTGGAAGGCACATCCTGCGATTTACCTCCTCCACAATGGCCCAGGGCAGGGTCGGTGGGGGCCCCTAAGGTTGGGGTTCAACCTTTTTAGTTGAAATGACTTGTGTCCCCAGGGCACATCTCCAAGTGGTAAAAGGAGAGGGTGGAGAAATCCAGCTTTGATTGAGGCTACTGCGTCAAGGGTTCGAATCCTGAAATATGGATTTGGCTCTTGGGTAAGTGTAAGTGTACAAGCAGCCTTCCACCCTATACCCTTGGAGGCATAACCTGCGATTTACCTCCCTCACGATACTCCAGGACAGAGGTGGTTGGAGACCCTTAAGGTTAGGGTTTAACCTTTTTTTTTTTAGTTGAAATGACTTGCACAACAGATGGGAAAAAGTCAAATATTGGGTGGCGTATATATTCATTCATTCAAAAATATATATTATGTTATGTACATAGAATATGAAAAGGAAAATCACTTTCAGAACCAACCAATTGTTCCACCACCAACATGACCTAATTTAGTTGTCATAATTAATCTTATCCTCCTTTATCTTCTCTTTTAGAGTGGACAATTCTGTACATTGTACAAATAATTACAAATAATTAGTTGATTGGACTTCTTTCTTCACATCAAGATTGTGTATGTACAAAACATTCTTGTAAATGTGCATATATTTCAGCCATGTATGTATGCATGAAAGTAATTATAACTCCTCTTGACCACAAGAAGGGATCTATACTCTGATACTGTAATGTGTCTTCAGAATTCATCATAAAATGTCAATTTTGTTTTTAAAAGAAAAAAATAGTAAAAACTCTTATACAATATACATTTTGAGAAAACGGATAAGATCGTAACTTAATTTTCAATCTTATAGTACATAGTCTAACATGTCAAAAGCATACTTTGGTTTTGTTTCTATAGTGGAAAAAAAGTTGTTTTGATTGAGACTAAGGTCAGGCAACTGAAGACCATCGTAGATGAAAAAAAATTTGACCTAAAATGTTTAGATATGCTAGAGAGTTCAACTAACGTGATACGGTGTCAAATTCAAATTTTATGCGTTACCAAATTTACGTTCTAGATTTCACTTTAACTAATTTGACATTACGTGCAGAATTAATCTAACTAAAGCAATAAGTCACTTTAATTAGTTGTCTAGGTGATTAATCATACAAGTTAATTTACCTATGTTGGAATGTCGCAGTTTGTATATTATGCAAAGCAGTAAATAACAAATAATATGATGACGGAGAAATCCCAATGTGGGTAAAACTCCGGGACCAAACCAGTTATCTCCACTATACTAATTCAGCAAGTACAAGTTATACCAAACTCAGTACCCAATCAGATTCGTTGTTCCA